CTACTAAAATATTCTCAAAATGTTTTAAATTGTGTTCGTATTTATCGTGTTGTTAAACCAAAATCAGATATGGTCATGCGATTACAATCTGAAGCAAAACGTGCACAAGATGATTTAAATAATACACAACAAGAACTTGATGATTTACAACGAATGTTAACAGAATTAAATAAAACATACGAAGATGCTATGGAAAAAAAACGAATTATTGAAGAAGAAACGGCTATTATGGAAAGACGAAAAGTAGCAGCAGATAAATTAATATCTGGTTTATCATCAGAAAAATTACGGTAAATAGAGATAATTTTATTATTTAAATTCACAATTTAAAATGATATTTTCTATATTTTATAGATGGGCTGGTGATTTAGAAGAACTTAAACATAGACTTCGTCGTTTACTTGGTGATACATTAATAAGTGCATCATTTTTAGTAAGTATTTTAATTCAAATTAATAGTGTGTATTATACTATGTTACATAATTTTATTTTAAAAATTTTTTTAAAGGCTTATGTTGGTGCATTTACATGGGAATTTCGTCGTGAATTAATTGTAGAATTATGGGAAAAAGATTTATTAGAAAAACAAATACCAATATCTCAACCATTACGTTTTGATGAATTATTAACATCAGATGTGGAAATAAGTAAATGGACAAGTGAAGGATTACCACCAGATGAATTATCAGTACAAAATGGTATTTTAACATTACAATCAAGTCGTTTTCCATATTGTATTGATCCACAACAACAAGCATTAAAATGGATTAAAAAACGTGAAGAAAAAAATAATTTAAAATTAGTCACATTTCATGATAGTGATTTTTTAAAACATCTTGAAATGGCAATTAAATATGGATTTCCACTTTTATTTCAAGATTGTGATGAATATATTGATCCAGTCATTGACAATGTATTAGAAAAAAATATTAGAGGTAAAATAAAATAATATTTTCTAGATAGTTAGTTTATCATCTAATTTATTTTTAATAATTTTACAAAATTATAACAAAAAATATGATTTTCTTCTCTTATTTATTAGGTGTTGAAGGTCGTCAGTTTGTCGTATTAGGTGACAAAGAAGTAGATTATGATCCTAATTTTCGTATGTATTTAACATCAAAATTACCAAATCCTCGTTTAACACCGGCTCATTTTGGTAAATCAATGGTCATTAATTATACTGTTACACTTAAAGGTCTTGAAGATCAATTATTATCGGTTATTGTTAAAAATGAACGTAAAGAATTAGAAGAACAACGTGAACGTTTAATACAAGAAACATCTGTAAATAAAAAATTATTAAAAGATTTAGAAGATGCTTTATTACGTGAATTATCAACATCAACAGGAAATATGCTTGATAATAATGAATTAATATCAACATTAGAAGAAACAAAATCAAAAGCTGATGAAGTTAATGAAAAATTACGTTTAGCAGCAAAAACATCAAAAGATATTGAAAAATTACGTGATCTTTATCGTCCAGCTGCTAAACGTGGTGCAATATTATTTTTTGTTTTATCAGAAATGTCCTTAATAAATACAATGTATCAATATTCATTAACAAGTTATTTAGATGTATTTGAATTTTCATTAAGAAAATCAATACCCGATGCTAATTTAGAACGTCGTTTAAAAAATATAATGACAACATTAACATTAAATGTTTATAATTATGGTTGTACGGGTATATTTGAAAAACATAAATTATTATTTTCATTTGATATAACAATTAAATTAGAACAAGATAGAGGAAATTTAACTCAAGATGAATTAGATTTTTTTATTAAAGGAAATATATCATTAGAAAAAAGTAAACGAAAAAAACCATTTATATGGTTATATGATCAAACATGGGAAGATTGTGTTCGTTTATCAAAAGATTTTAGTGACGTATTTGGAACATTACTAGATGATGTTGAACATAATGAAAAACAATGGAAACGAGTATGATATTCAATAATTGTTTATTTTTTTAATTCATTGAATTATTTTTGTTTTCTTCTTTTTCTATTGTCTAGTGGTTTGATAGTGATACACCAGAAGAAATTGAGCAATATCCATTGGATTATTCGACACGTTTATCAGCATTTCATTGTCTAATGTTATTAAGATGTTTTCGTGTTGATCGAATTTATTTAGCTATAACACAATATGTAACAAAAATAATGAGTAAAATTATTTTATATAGAATTTTTTTTATTATTATTGAAGAATAGAATAATAAATCAAACTTTTTTATTTTTTTAGGTGATCAATTTGTTACACCACCTGTTGTTCATTTTGAAGCCATTTGGGAACAAAGTACACCATTATCACCAATTATTTTTATATTAAGTGCCGGTAGTGATCCAACAACAGATTTATTAAAATTAGCTGAACGAATGGAATTTGGTGTTACTAAAGTGAAATTATTGGCAATGGGTCAAGGACAAGAAAAAGTATAATAAAGTTCAATGAGTTTATGCACATTTTTATTGATCTATATAATAATATTTTTTTAGGGTGCCATTCAATTACTTGAACAAGCAGCTAGTCGAGGCTATTGGCTTATGTTACAAAATTGTCATTTACTCGTTAAATGGCTTTTAGAATTGGAAAAACATCTTGATAAAATGTCAAAACCACATCCCGATTTTCGTTTATGGCTTACAACAGAGCCAACACCTAAATTTCCTATTGGAATATTACAACGATCATTAAAAGTAAGAGATATAATACAATAAAATAAATTATAATAAATAAATTATTTTTTATTTTAGGTTGTTACAGAACCACCCAATGGTTTGAAATTAAATTTACGAAATACATTTTTTAAAATATCTGGTCAACAATTTAATGATTGTCCACATGAAGCATTTCCATCATTAGTATTTGTATTAGCATTTTTTCATGCCGTTGTACAAGAGCGACGAAAATACGATAAAATTGGTTGGAATGTATCGTATGATTTTAATGAGTCCGATTTTCGTGTTTGTATGCAAATATTAGATACGTATTTGACAAAAGCTGTAGCAAATAATGATACAAGAATTCCATGGGGTTCATTGAAATATTTAATTGGAGAGGTGAATAAGTGAAATAGTTTATGTATAGAGTGGATATTAACATTTTTCTTTGATATTTCTTTTTTAGGTAATGTACGGTGGACGAGCAATTGATGATTTTGATCGACGAGTGTTACGAACATATATGAACGAATACATGGGGGATTTTATTTTTGATACATTTCAACCATTTTATTTTCATCATAGTCCAGATGTATCGTATTATATTCCAACAACACAAGTAGATCCACAACAACAAGGATTACCAATGAAAGAAATGTGTCTAGGTATGTCGTATCTAGTGTCGATCTATACTTTGATTTATTTAATATAAATGAGTGTCATAAATGTATGTATGGATGTATAAACGATAAGTTAAGTTATACATTCATATATAATTGTATAATTTACTAACTAGTGTTTATTGCATTACAGACATATCGCGACGTAAGTATTTTGTCACTGTGTGTGTTTCCATTATTCTTCACTGTTTCTTTCTTTTTTTCTGTCACCAACTGCTCTTATCTCACTTTAATCATTTTATGTGAGAATTATTGGTTTAAATCACCCATTTTTATTTGAACTAGACGTTTCTTTTAGTCGTGTTCAATTCGTATGAACAGTCTCGATGTTAGCCTTACCAAAGAAGTGATTGGTCTTCTTTTTTTTTGTTCATTTCGTCTTTAAATCAACTCACTCTATCTTTTTAATCATAAAAGAGCGCGAGTAAGATTTACTCTAGGACGTTGACTTAATGCAAAAATTGAATGAGAAGCAAACGTGAACTGAACTGCTGCAGAAGTTCTTGTTAAAAGTATTTATAGTCTTTGGTAACAATTTAAAAATAACTTTATCTCGTTCATTTTTTCACCCTATTTCGAATGGTATGTGACACAAATTTTCATCTCTTCTTATTGATCCAGATATTAGGGTATTTTGAAAGTACCAGCAGGACTAAAGCGGAGAAAATCAATCAGGACGACAAGGTCATATAGTTGTTGATAAAATATTTTTATCAAAATTTAGTCGACTTTTTCATACATCGGACGGTGATAGTGATGTTTACTCATACTCTGTGCAAAGAATACTAACGTGAGATAGCTCTAAGCGAGACTATATTCCTTGAGACTGATAGGAGTTAGTATTGAACAGATGTTAATATTAGTTTTTTTTGTAAAGAACATATACAAGTTTTAAATAACGCTTTGAAAACGGACATACTCTCAAATGCATGTTTTTTTAATTTTGTTTTTTTCTCGTGTTTATCTCACTAATCTCAATTACTACGTTTACACCATTCCACCATAATTTATTTTTATTTTTATGTTAAATAACCCTTATTAACTGTTGTTATTATTTTTCTTGAAGAATATATCGAATCATTACCATTAACAAATACTCCAGAAGTATTTGGTTTACATCCAAATGCAGAAATTGGCTATTATACAAAGTCTGCACGTGATATATGGGAACAACTAATCGAATTACAACCACAATCTGGTAAGCATTTATGTTCATGAAATATTTCTGTAGAAAATAGAATAAATTTGATATTCATTGTATCTCTAAAACAGGTGAAGCCACTGGTGGAATGAGTCGTGATGAATACATCGATAGTACAGCAGCTGATATACTAAAACGTGTACCACCTCAATATGATACTGATAAAGTTTGGAAAAAATTTGGTGGTGAATCGATTTCTCCAACATCCGTGGTGTTATTACAAGAATTAGCTCGATTTAATAATTTAACATCAACAATAACAAGATCATTAACAACATTGAGACGAGTATGTCAATATACATTTTGTTGATTTGTTATACAAGTTCAACTGAATGAGAATATGTGGCTATTTTAGGCATTGAAAGGTGAAGTAGGAATGTCAAACGAAATGGATGATTTAGCACGAGCTCTCTATAATGGACAATTGCCTCCAATGTGGAAAAAATTAATACCTGCAACAAAAAAAAATCTTGCCACTTGGATGGATCATTTTCTGAGAAGAAATCAATTGTACAACGGTTGGGTGCGTATTAGTATTGTTTTTAATATCAAATAGGGAGATTTAAAGGAAATATTTGTTGTAGGTGAATGAAGGTGAACCAAATGTCATGTGGCTGTCCGGTTTACATATTCCTGAATCATATTTAACTGCACTTGTTCAAGCAACATGTCGTAAAAATGGTTGGCCACTAGATAAGTCAACATTGTACACACAAGTAACCGAATGGGAAAAAGCAGAAGATGTAACAGAACGTGCTCATCAAGGTGAGAAAGTCAAGAGTGTGTCACAGACGGATGCGAAAACTCAGTTATCTTCTTTTTCTATTCTAGGTTGTTTTATAACTGGACTCTATTTGGAAGGAGCAAGTTGGGATGTTCGAAAATGTTGTTTATTAAGACAACGTCCAAAAGAACTTATACAAGAATTACCAGTTATGAAAGTTATTCCAATCGAATCACACAAACTTAAATTACAGGTAAGATAAGCTAATAATCCATCCAAAGTACTCAATTCAAGTTTACTTCTATAATCGCTGATGAAGGCGTCAATGCAGTAGACTACTAGTTTCAGTCAAGTTTAATATTTGTGCCATTATCGCTAACTTTCTCATTTGTTGTAGAATACATTACGATGCCCTGTTTATGTCACGTCCGATCGTCGTAACGCAATGGGAGTGGGTTTAGTGTTTGAATCTGATTTATCCACAACTGAACATAGCAGTTATTGGGTATTACAAGGTTTCTGTCTTATTTTGAATACTGACTAATGCATGTATACATATGTAAAAAATTACTATTTTTGTATCAAATTTTCACTTTGTTGAATAGATGTATCTCGAAACGTGTATTTTTTTTAAATATTTTTTACAGGTTTTTTTTATAACTTGTTGTTTTTTGTTATTATTTTCTGTTATAAAGAAAGGAGAATTTAGAAGATGAAATCTATAGAGAAACGATGATCTCATTATATTGAAGCTAGTCTATGAAAATTGTAATAGCAGCCATTTTAAAGTTCATTTTATTTATTCTTTATATTATTCAACATTTCGACAGTAGAATTTCGTCATTCTCAAGAATATAAAACTTGTATAGAGACCATAAAAGTAGAAACCATAAGAATAGAATTAGAAATCTAATGTTTCTGATGCATGTACTACGGCAAAATGTAATAAAATAACCTTGTTTGAAATAATAGAGAGAAAATAGTAGAGAAATACAAATAAAAATGTCGATGAAATAAAGTAACAGGTTATAATCTCAAAATTTCTGTTCTTGAATCGATAAAAAGTTCAGAATCATATTTTCTGCTATATAAGAACAGCATAATTTATGGTGTATATATTGACATTGGTACAAAATTCTATACAGAGACACTGCATAAATGCATAAAACTCAGCGAAACAAAAAAGGAAACCATCAGCTGATTAGGCTTATATATTGAGAAAACGTTGATCCGCTTCAATTACATTTTCAGTCTGTTCAATAGTAGTCATTCGTTGTATTAGTTGTTATTGCTCTCGAGATTCTTTTGATTAACGAATGTTTTTTTGAAACACTAGAATTGACTGATACGAAATAGAAAGATTATTAGAGTTACAAGTAGATACCTTAATTCCGTAATTTTATTTAAATAACAAACGTTTCGACCTCTTTTATTGAGGCCTTTTTCAGTGATAATAATTAAAATAAAACAAATTTTAAAATATAAAACTGTTAAATTCTGTTACATATAACGTTAGCCTGTGGCAGCAAGTTAACGTTATAAAGGGTGACCAGTAATCGTTCCAGTAATTCTGACCCACCATTTATAACGTTAACTTGCTGCTACAAGCTGTCGTTATATGAAACAGAATTTAACAGTTTTTGCATTTTTCCATTTTTATATTTTTAATTTTTTTTAATTTTAATTATTATCAGTGAAAAAGGTCTCAATAAAAGAGGTCGAAACGTTTGTTATTCAAATAAATTTACGGAATTAAAGTATTCACTTGTAATTCTAATAACGAATGTATTGTTTGAAGGAAGACTCGTGATATAAGTCGATGCTAGCAGGAGGATATTTGGGCTGATTATCTGCCGAAGTTTGTCAAACGAATCTGATATATTTCTCTATTAATGTTTCAAGTTAAACGAGATTTTCTCGAATACATTATTGATATTCATCGGTGACATTAAACGTCTCGCTGCTATTGCGATAGATGCGCTTCACTTACATTATCTTCATCCTAACCATCCGAACAGAGTTACTAAGCCTCACTAGCTCTTTCTCTCTCTCTCTCTCTCTCTCACACACACACACACTCGCTCTCTCTCTCTCACTATAAATATCTCAA